CTTAGGCCAAATTTCGACATAAGCTTACGTGTGTTGAGCACCACCAATCCGCCTAGAACGTTGCCGTTTTTAGACGAAAATGAGAAACCATACCGAGCAGAAGTATTACAAAAAATTCAGCTCAGCATACACAAACATATACAAAAGTCCAGTTAGGAACAGTGGACGAATTTTTGAATACAAAAAAAGAAAATACTATAACAACAAATATACCGGCAAGAGGTTTCGCGACAATACCGGTGATGCCTTCATAGATTCCTTGCCCAACACCTTTAGCACCACGAGCCACACCTTCACCAATGGTTTTCGGTCGTCTACTCATCACCTGCTGCCGTTTGCGTTGGTACTCTTCATCAAGCGTCAATACAGCAACACCCTTAAAAAATACATTGGCAGCAATGAGATGCAAAATGATATAAGGAGATACTGTTCCTAAACAAAGAGAGAATGACAAAAAAGCATACTTTTCCAAGAGTTCCCGCAATTCGAGATACCGCACCAGCACCACCACCAACTGTTGCACCAAAAAGACCTTTTACACCGAGCACTACTCCCTCTGCAAACTCTTCGGGTCCTTGAACAGCACCCTGAAAGAGCACATAAAAAATCAGAAAGAGCATATAAAAACCGTGAAATAGAAAGGAAAGGGAGGGCCATAGAAGCCCAGCCAGAACTGCCCGTTCTAAACAGGATCGGCAGAGAGGTCGAAGTTGTAAAATGGCAATTTGTGGCAGTAGGTAGGCCGAAGCATACCACATAAAGCAAGAGACTGTGCGAACCAAACGACTGCGCGTAAACTTCTAGAAGAGTGTTCACACAGATGATCAATTCACGTCACAACCGTTGTACTGATGAGATCCAGTTGTAGTGCTTCGATAAGAATTCATACAGCTTAATGGACTGAAACGTCCTAATTCCATCTAATTTCTTGTTCCAGAAGGTAGCGGGGTATCAACTGACGGAAAATGGCTCATGACCATTTTTCTGTCACTGGCGTGAAGAAATATCCCAGTAACACCACTAACAAAGAACTACTGCCAAAGAGTCTTGGTATTCCTGAATTTGCTCCTATTTTTTTTCTTACCTCTTTCTTTATTTACTTCTTACTTCGTGAGTCGAAAGAAAAAAAAAAAAAATTGGCCAACGCACGGGCTGCCCGTGCGAAGATGCGTTTTTTGCA